AATCATTTTACTTATTTTTAGATATTTTAATAGTTACATGTGGTATGACAGTGAGCACAGTAAAGATGGAGAAAAAGTAAACAGCGCTTCCCTTGCACTGCATATATTATTTTTCTTTTAAGTAATTTTATTAAGCCAAATTATCTATGTTGAATTCACTTCTTTGCGTTGTCATCCATAAAAATGTTGCTAGTACTGTTGTAGATTTTAGAATATCCTGCTGGCGACTTCACCACCTCCACACACTGAGATATCACACACAGACTTTACTGAATGTAATGTACCAGACCATTAGACTAGATCTCTTTCTGTTTTTGTAAAATGGAACACAATTTCTTATTTTGCTAGGTTTATAGTTATTTGATATGCAACTTCTAGCTCTCTGACTGTAAGCAATCCTTAGATATTACTGTGCTAAAGCTACATACCTGCACAGTGACATTTTATCCCAGAGTTTGAAGGTGCAGTAGTATGGAAAGCAGGACGCTATGCAGATGATAGTGTAGTGGTTGGTATAGTGTAGTGAGTAACACCTCAGTGGGGTTCAATTCCCTGCTGACCCAATATCTTACTCTATAGCAATAAGAGTCCTTGGCAAAGACATCTAACTGTACTAATTTTTTCCTGAAGATTTTGGCATGTATTTGAGGAAACTGATTTGGTGATTATTTACTTTCAGTGTTTGTTAGCCTGTTAGTCTGGCAGCTCAAATTTTAAACTAAAGAAGCAAGTTGGCTCAGTGACTGCATTTCGAGTAGGTAAAACACACACACACATATATATATATATATTATATATATATATATATATATATATATATATATATATATATATATGTTTTACCTGAGAGAGAGAGAGAGAGAGAGAATTCCTTAAATTAGCCACAAATGCATGTCATATTTACCCACTAAACCATTAGTGAACACACAAACACTGTTGAAGCCAGCAACTCTTTTTACCTCTGGATCTAGTAACTGTATTAGAGTTACTGTGCTGTATTGAACATTTTTTACAGCCTCAAGGATAAAAAGAAAAATGCAGTTAGCACAGCTGGTACATTCGTATGTGATCAGAGCTAAAATGTTCAGTTTTGTTCAAATGTCATGATCATGAACATTGTTTACATGTCTTCAATACAGTCAAAGACAGAAACCAACTGCAGTCGTGGGGATGTTATGAAGTTAATGACTGATGCTGTGTGCATGTGTGCTTTCTAAACCCTACACTGAACTCAGTCTGCAAATGTCACTGTAGTTTTGGTAAGTCATGCAAGCCTCTGACTGAATGTATGTTTGAAAGCTGTAGATGTACAGTGATCACAATACATCTGTGTAAATTGCTATTTTGCTTAGTCTGGCCTAAGAAAAGTTTCTTAATCTTCCTTTTTATTATTATTCTTTATTGTGCCTCTGTTTCTGTTCTTAGAGATCGAAAAAACAACATTTGTATCATCAATTTCCAACATCTCATTATCTCTTAGAATGTTTTTGTGTTACTGTGCCTTTAAAACTGATATATGGAAATGTTGTGTTTGGCTGCCCTGCAGTGTGTCTTGTTCAGAAAGCAATCTGGGCTGGAATGTTGAAGAATCTGTTAAATTTGAATTGAAATCCTCAGAGACACTGGGAAAAAATTTTATCCACTCCTTCAAGATGTGTGGACCCTTTGAAGGCTGATATAATCCACAGTGAGGAACAGCACAGTGTTAAACTGTTTTAACTCTAATAACAACAACACTAGTAACAACACTACACATCACTTCAGTGTAAATGAGCAGGAATGAATGGAGGCTCAGTGGGTGCTGTGGGTGGTGCTAAACTGATATAGGCTGAATGCGTGATTTGTTTGTATATATGAATACTTAAAATGTGTTTTTTGGAGATTTGTTTTCATGGACTGTATAAACTGTGGAGTGGACACTACATTTTGAAACTTTTGAAAGAGTGTTTAAATTGTTCATTACAAGATTATTATTATTTTATTATTTATATTATTTTTTAATCTGTTTTGCCATAATATATGCCTCTTAAAGGTAGGAAGTCTAGCAATGGTATACAAGCTACAGAAAACCAATGATCAAATGCTGTAACATATAGATAAACATGTCATGACACAGACTTACTCAAGCTCCTTTAAAACCATTATTTTTGAGGGATTTGGAGACCCCACTCGTAGAAATGTGCAAGGTGTGAAATACATGGTGTCCTAGGGGGACCAGGATCACCTAATTAACCTCTTGGACCCCCTGAATGTCTAATAAACAAAAATTTGGTGGGTCCCTGAAAATATTTTTTTTTTATGATGTTAAGCTATCATCGTTTAGCTTGCTTCACCCACAATCAGCAAGCTTCTGTATGTCATAACATATTCGTAAATCTGAAAACCTGCCTAATTTTCCCAAGAGATTAATGGAAAGAGTGAATTATTACTCATTTCTTAAACTGAAGACAAAAGAGATGTTTATGATCCCAGTTAATGTGTGGAAGACCACATTACCTAGAAAAGAGGAAAGAGCATTTCCAGAAGAAAAGTTATTAAACCAAACATTTTGTCATTGATTGTTATCAGCATGGCACTATGGCGAACAGCTGGATTAGCGAGCCAACATGGGCCATGGGAACATGTGTGGTAGTAGTCAGTAGAGTGGGGTAGCAGTCAGCAGAGTGGTAGTAGTCAGTAGAGTGGTAGCAGTCAGTAGAGTGGTAGTAGTCAGTAGAGTGTGGTAGCAGTCAGTAGAATGGTAGTAGTCAGTCGAGTGGGGTAGTAGTCAGTCGAGTGGGGTAGCAGTCAGTAGAGTGGTAGCAGTCAGTAGAGTGGTAGTAGTAAGTACAGTGTGGTAGCAGTCAGTAGAGTGTGAGAGCAGTCAGTAGAGTGTGATAGCAGTCGGTAGAGTGTAATAGCAGTCGGTAGAGTGGGGTAGCAGTCGGTAGAGTGGAGTAGTAGTCAGTAGAGTGGGGTAGTAGTCAGTGGAGTGGGGTTGTAGTCAGTAGAGTGTGGTAGCAGTCAGTAGAGTGGGGTAGTAGTCAGTGGAGTGGGGTAGTAGTCAGTAAAGTGGGGTAGTAGTCAGTAAAGTGGGGTAGCAGTCAGAAGTCTTACTATTCTAAGTACTATTTTTTTTTTCCTTTTTTTCTTCTCAGTCAGTTTACGATTGAGAAGAAAGTAATACAAAAGTATTCAACCCCTTAAAATCCTTCAGATTTATCTGGATTATAAACAACACTTTTATCATTTTACTGTCATTGTATTTTTGACTGATGCTCAAAAAGGTTTATTTAAAATATTGGTTTTGTTTAATAAAATGTTCTGTGGCCAAAAATGACTAACTGGAAAATGCTGTTTGCATAAGTATTCAATCCCTGTGCTGTAGAAGCTCCAAGTTTACACAGACAAAAGACAGCTGGAAAATTTCACCTTTTCTGGATAAAAGACCCCCTTAATTCAAGAACCACTGTGAATCTGAAGGAAAACTTTAAAAATGAAGACCAAAGAGCACTGTAAGAAAATTAGAGATAAAGTTATAGACATGCACAAGATGGGGAAAAACTACAGAAGTAATATCCAGCTGTCTGGAAAGAGCATTTCACAAACATTCCTTTGACTGATATGAGAAGTGATAAGATTATTATTGAAAATGTTTGAGTTTCTATAATGTTCAGCAGACGATGATGAAGCTCTGAGCTGAGACTCTTCAGTGCAGTCTTTAAGGCAGTCACTGCTACAGTCCAGCAGCAGAAATGCAGAAGGAGACTCAGAGCTCATTTACATTTACATTTACATCATTTAGTAGACGCTCTTATCCAGAGCGACTTACAAAAAGTGCTTTGTCTATCCAGAGAAAGAATCTTTGCTAGCTACCAATAGGTTAGAGAGAAAGACAGTCCTAAACTTAGATACTGCTAGAATCAGAAGGTCATTGACACCTAGTGAAAAGGGACAGAGTTAAACACAGAACAGTGCAATACAATACAATACAATACATAAGTGCTGTACAATACATTACAATCAATACTTAATTTAGTGCTCATTTAAGTGCTGAATAAACAGGTGTGTCTTCAGTCTGCGTTTGAAGACAGCGAGAGACTCTGCTGTACGGACGGCCAGTGGGAGTTCATTCCACCACCTGGGTGCCAGCACAGAGAACAGTCTAGATGTTTGCCTTCCGCGCGCTTTGAAGGATGGCGGGTCAAGCCGAGCTGTACTCGAAGCTCGAAGGGCTCGTGGTACAGTTCGAGATTTGACCATTGCCATCAAGTAGGGAGGGGCTGGTCCATGTCTTTGTAGCAAGCATAAGGGTTTTAAATCTGATGCGTGCAGCTACAGGAAGCCAGTGAAGAGAGCGCAGCAGTGGGGTGACGTGGCTGAACTTTGGGAGATTGAAGATGAGTCTTGCTGCTGCATTCTGGATGAGTTGCAGAGGCTTGATGGCCTGCATCGGAAGACCAGCCAAGAGCGAGTTGCAGTAGTCAAGCCTTGAGATGACAAGAGACTGCACTAGCACCTGGGTGGCCTCTCGAGAGAGAAAGGGTCGGATCCTCCGGATGTTGAATAGGAGAAATCTGCATGACCGAGTTAGGTTCGCAATGTGAGTCGAGAACGATAACTGCACATCACGAACCACACCAAGACTTCTTGCCTCTGCTGACGGGACAATCAGAGAGTTCTCGAATGAGATGGCAAGATCATGATAAGGACCTGTAGTTGCAGGGATGAATAGCAGCTCAGTCTTGCTAGGTTCGCTCATTCTGTTGTTGCTAGTGGGCTAGTTTAACTCTCACTGAATCAGCACTGCTGCATCCTGATTGACAACATACCATTAAATTATAAGAAAACTGACAGATTGTTGTGAAGAAAAAAGATGACAAAAAGCCATTAAAGCCATAAAAGCTCTCAGTTTAAGAGGAGTAAAGGAATGAAAGCAGGTTCATTCCATTTAGATGCTGCTGCCCTCTTGTGGTCAGAGAACAGATTGAGGTGAAACTGAAAGTATTTGTGGTTTCCGCTCTGGACGCTGAAGTGGAGAGTCGTGTGTGAGATTAGTGGAGAGTTTAAACTCGGTCTTATTATTATGGATCTGCTGTTATAGACAAAAACCTGATATGAACTGATTTAAAATGTGGACATATTTCACCACCAGCAGCGATATGACTGTATGAACAGCAGCACAGGTAAGAGCAGTTAGTTATTCATCTCTCTCTCTCTCTCTCTCTCTCTCTCTCTCTCTCTTTCTTGAATGAAGAGCAGTCAGTGAAGCACCTGAGTGAGAGTGGAGTTTGTGTAAGTGGAGTTTCTCTCTCTGTATCTCTCCAAAATGGAAAAATCCATTCTGATTAAGATGTGTGAGCTGAGCTATTTTTAAAGTCTCTTCTGAATGAAGTCCAGTATTTACAGTCATTGTGCAATACTTAGTTTATCTAATCAGCCCTTCATTAATTAAATCAGGTGTTGCTGATGAAATTGAACAAATCCATGTGATGTATGGAGAACAGCGACAACAAAGGAAACTTCTGACTGTGTTTATCTAACCTACACACTAAATAACTTCACTGACAAACAACGCATTTTTACTGTATGTGTATTTATTTGTATTAATGTTTTATTAACTGGAAGTAATTCTGTATGGTGGGGGCTCATCAAGTGTTTTTGCACTGGGGCCATCAGAACCTACCAATGCTACTATTACTATGCAATGTCCTACTAATGTTTTTAGCAGGAGGTTTTTGGTGTTGTTGTTGTTACCAGAATGTTCTTCTTAATGGAAACCCTGACTGTTAAGCCTTAAAAACAGTGTATATGTCGAGTACTATTAAAATACGGTATATAAAGCAAACAGCAATGACAAATATGCAAAATTCCTCTACTAGTAGGCTACAATTGTCACACTGTGATGGTGTCATATGGTTGCACTGAGCTCAGTCCTACGGAAAATAAGACAAACAAAAAAGTTCTCTGGAGTAATATTATGCTGTAGCTAAAGCTGGAAAGACTGAATGATATATTTAAGGTTAAATATTTAGCTGGCTGTTCCTCACTCAGTTAACAACACAGAGAGAGAGAGAGAGAGAGAGAGAGAGAGAGAGAGAGAGAGAGAGAGAGAGAGAGACTTGACTTGTAAACCCACTTTATTTAAACTATACCTTACACAGTCCTGTTGTCATATTCTAGCCACATACAAATGGTCTCAACCCCCCCCCCCCCTTAAAATAGGGGGAACAAAAGAAAGAAAAGAAAAAACAGAAGAAAATACTAATGGTTTTCAGAAGGACAAAATCAGCCCCCCCTCCTCATTGAGTTCACATAAGACCCCACCCTGTCCCCACACTCGATTAAAGGCAGGCAGGTTATGAGTCATCTTAAAATAAGCGTATTCAATTCTAAGCCTAATCCGTACTGCAGCTCTCAGCATTAGTTCAGGGTCCAGCGTCCCACTCCCCTGTATTTTATTCTTCCTTGAAAGCCAGACAGCAAGTTTACCCTGACCTATCAGAAAGTTCAATAAACACAGCTTATCTCTATGAGCAGCAACATATTTTGGGCCAAAGACATAGAGACCATCTGTCCACAGTATTCCAAGCCCACAACACCAAACCTTCAGTAAGTTTAGCAGACCTGTGAGCCTGACACAGTGTAGAAACAAATGCTCTACAGCTTCCTCCCTCCCACAGAAAGGACACTCACTCACTATAGTGGGGTCGATATGCGCCATGTGTCTGTTAGTGGCCACGGCCCCATGTACAATCCTCCACTGCAGATCCCCCGTACGCTTCTCGATTGGAGGCTTGTACAGGGATCTCCAACTGCCTTGTGGAGAAGAGCCTGGTGCCAACAAACCCAACCACCTCGATTCCTTCAAGCCATCCAGTGAGGTTCTGTGAAGGACTTTCACACAAACGTCATACAGCGCCTTCTTGGATGTATCTGCAAAGCCAGCTAGCTGTGGAGTCCTGAACGAGAGAAGTGCTCCCTCCTCCTCCTGATAATCCCCTATTTCTGCAGTAATAGGGAGAGTAGGGAAGGGCTCCTGGTCTCCACCTGAGTGGTGCTCTAAGGCCTCCCTGAGAGAAGTGGGCAGCGTTGAGATCACTTCTCCTATGATTCTCTGCAGCAGTCGAACAGACACAATACCGGTTGCAGCACTTAAAACTCCACCAGATTTCCAGTCCTCACCAACTCTCAGCTCTCCTAGTTTCGTAATACCTGCCCCTTGAAAGCGCAGGCGGATACTTCTGAAGGTCAAATCAGTGACTGGAATCAAAGGATTGTAGAACAGAGGCTCCTCTTCAACAAGAGAACAAAACTGGACCTCAGATCTAGTAGTCCTAAGTGCCAAGGACCAACTGAGCCCACCACCAACTTTAAGCATGACTGAGGCGCCAGAATATAAATGCTGAACCCAGGATAAAAAGACTTTCCCCAACCCAAAACTTTGTAGGATACTAAAAAGATAAGAATGGTCAACCCTATCAAATGCTTTTTCCTGGTCTATGGACAGCAACCCCAAATCACACGAAGTCACACCACACAAATCAATCACATCACGAACAAAGAAAAGATTATCCATTATGGTGCGACCGGGTACACAGTAAGTCTGATTAGCATGCACTATCAAATGTATGTGTTGCTTCAGTCTGTTGGAAAGACATTTAGACAGTATTTTATAGTCTGTACATAGTAGGGCCACAGGCCTTCAATTCTTCAGAAGTCCCAAATAGCCCTTCTTAGGGAGAAGAGATAACACTGCCCGAGTACAGCTAAGGGGCAGCTGTCCCGCTTGCCTTGACCACTTAAATACTTCAAACAAGTCCATTCCAATAATGTTCCAAAAGCTCTTGTAAAATTCAGCAGGCAGTCCGTCAATGCCTGGTGAACGTCCAGTGGTGAGTTGTTGAACAGCAGAGGTCAATTCATGAAATTGAATGTCTGAGTCCATTGCTTCAACATGTGATGTCCCAAGTTTTGGTAGCCCCTCCAGAAGTTCATCTCTGCAGTCAAAACTGGTGGCATCAGCACTGTAAAGATCTGTATAAAAATCCACTGCAATCTTCCTCATCTCAGCAGGCACTGAGGTCAAGTGTCCTTCAGGGTGTTGGAGAAACTGCATAGGATTTTGGTGTGTCCCCTTCCGCTCTAAGTTGAAGAAGAAGGCAGTTGGGGCATCCATATCTTTGATACTGGAGACACGAGCTCTAGTCAGAGCCCCTTTTGCCTGCTCATACATGTATGAGCCCAAAGCCTTCCTTTTCCCTTCCAATAAATTACTAACTCCAGCATCATACTTTTTAACCAACTCATCTTCAATCAGATTTATCTCTCTCTCAAGCCCCCAAACCGTACTCTTCACCACAGATGCAGTATGTGCAGAGTACAGCTGACAGAAGGACTTTGTGTTTTCCCCACCTCCCACCATAAGGCCACATTATCAAAGTCTGCTTTTCTCACTCTCCACCCCTCCCAAAAGGCTGTAAAATTTCTACAAAACATTTCATCCTGAATCAGCTTCACATTAAAGCCAGTAAGATCTAGAATTGGTCTTTCTGGCCAGGAGTACATCAAGCACAACTGCATGGTGATCTGAGAAGCCACTGGGAGCCATAAAAGCATTCAAAACTCTTTGTCGGTCAGTCTTAGTTACATAAAAACGATCCAGTCTAGCTGCACTCACCCTCCTCTCAGAAACTTTAACCCATGTGTATTGTCTTGTGCCTGTGTTGAGCTCTCTCCATGGATCTACAAACCCACACTCTTTAAGTAACCCTCCCAGCTCTGCAGCAGACCCTGGGTGAGGTTCTTCCCCATTCCTATCCAGTGTAAAGTCTGTAGTGCAATTCCAATCCCCCCCCATCACTACTGAGAGAGTGTCATTATATCGCTGCAATGCAGTACGTAACCTCTGAAACAACCTCACCCGCTCTCCCCCATGATTGGGGGCATATACATTTACAAACAGGAACCCTGTTCCCCTAATGTCTACCTGTACCAATAACAGACAACCCTGCTCTAACTCATTCACCTGCAGATGGCCAATCCCCAACCTCCCAGAAAGGAACACTGCTACCCCTGCACTAAGATTGGACCCATGACTAAGAGCGTACTTCCCATCCCACCACATACCCCATTCCACCTCATTATCCCTATCACTGTGGGTTTCTTGCAGAAATAAAACATCAACATTTTTATGTTTAACAAATTCAGCTAATATAGCCCTTCTGCTCCCCTCTCTGCCCCCATTAATATTTAAGAAGGTGATTCTCAACTTATCCAAAGGAGAATACATAAGGAGAGAAGAGGAATAGAAAAGGACAGAGAACCAGAGGAAAGTAAGCACCCTCAGTGGCTCAGTCACTTCACTTTCGTTTAACAGGGGCTTTTCCCCTCCGCAACTTCGTCAGCATTTTCTTCAGACGGAACCTCTTCTGCTTACTCAGTTCATCAAAGTTAGCAGTTCTACGTATTTTCGCCACGGAAGCTACAAACTTTTCTACATTAGGAAAAAAGTCAGCAATCTCCACTACCTTTCCAAATGTCTCATCTAAAAACGCATTTATTTCTTGTACTGAATAAAGTTGCTGATCCTCGCCAGCCTGAGACGCCAGGTCAGAAAAGTCAGAAAACGCATCCTCCTCCTCCTCCTCCAGTGTCACTGGCATATCCACAGTCGCCACAGACTCACCAACAGCTGCTTCACCACTGCTTACGGCGTCCACATGTGCAGATAGCGCAGTATCACGGTCCCCCTCTCCTTCATGCGCCTCTAAAGAAGCCTGAGACCCATCTAAATGTACAGTTTCTACCCCGTGCACTCCAACTTCATTAACAGAAACCGAGACACTATTATCAGCGGCGGCCACTACAGTAGGGCACTCCTCAGTACCCTCGCCCGGCCCCGCGCCCTGATCTACTGGCACCTGCCTGCCTTCACCTCCGCTAGTGCCGGGCCCTGCTTCCTCAGACACTCGCACTCTGTGCGGACAGATCAGCCTCTTATGACCAACATCCCCGCACTCAAAGCATCGCATACTTCCCGTACTCGCATATAACATATACGATCGACCCTCATAGGAAACTCTGAACGAAATGTCCAAAGTGGGCTCATTCAAAAACATCAGCACCCGCTGTCTAAAGGACAAAACATGCTGGAGAGCCGAACTTTTACAATTCAACGGAATCA